GGGGGTTGGAGGTTTGAAAGAGGTGCTGGGTGTTAGAAATGTGCTGATTGATGTATGGGCTTTTTCAGATGTTAGTTGTATGGACCGGGTTTGTGTTGGGGACGATTTGTGGGAGGGGGATGGATAGGTAGTTGGAGGATACTTGGTTGTTGTTGTATTTACTTTTATGTGTATAAGACCATGTTGCCATATGTTTTAACTTATTATAGATTGTAATTGCTCCTTCCAATTGTTGGTTGGCTCTCATTTTATAGAAAGTGCTAGCCAATCATATTGCTTAAAAATTACCAATACGAGAGATCTCCGTCGTTTAACATGCTAAGTGAATAAAGTCCGAGAAACTCGATAAAATATGATGACTCCCGAGTGATACCGAAAAGATAAACAAATATGGCTGCCGTAGAAGACGGACCGCTATGTCTGAGACAAACTTTCGACTCTAATGGACTAGAAAAGTTAAGACAGTATGATTACATGTAATACACATGAGAGGTATGATGTTATCTCAACACGCTGAACAATCGTTTTGAATAATAACGTGTGTTTCTCGTAAAAAATACAGATTACACCTAGCGGTGGACTTGTCGTCTGCTCATACGTTACAGTACACATTGGTTCAATATGCACAGTCTTCATCTTGCATTAAAACACTAATTTACAGACTCACAACATACTATCTTATTTGGATGCAATACTTGTATCATGATACAGTGTGATGAAATACAACAATATGAGATCATTTACAGACGGAATTCCCGTAATATGTTCTATCACCGAGTATCGTACTATGTCAGATGTAAGCTCACACTTCAACAACATCTCACATTATGATTTAAAATATCATACGTATAGCATGACACAATCTCATAAAATATAACAATTTCAAAGTATTCAATGTGAAATTCGTGTACAATAATGGAACAATAATACTGCCAGTGTCACTTTCTTACTATATATGTACAAGCCATGATGATGATCACACTCGTTTCTTAGATATTATTATTATTAGGAGATCAGTAGCTACACGAGATCTCTTATTGGGGAAGTTATCTATCTAAACGGGATACTGGTACCTCTCCAAAACTTCACTACATTCTCTTGATCAGGTTTAACTGTGGAGGGTCAGTGTTATAAATGTAGTGATTAGAATGACTTTGTATCGTATTTTAGAAACTGACTCGCCTATAAAGACCCATATTTTACCAGGCTACATGAAAACCAAAAATTACCCAACAAATTATATAGATTTGTTTTGTATTGTTTGGGTTTCAACATCCTTGAAACAGCAAAGGTTTTTGTATGAAAACATTAGATTTTGGGAAGCAATTTTTGAATCTGAAAGTAGTGTTTAATATACATTAAATAAAACATGAGTTTCAATGTACCGATTGATTGTTACTGTGACAGATTGGCTGCAGAGTCTGTCAGGCGATGAACGAAGTGAGCTTTACAAGGGCGTTGGTTATGATGAAAGTTCCACGGAAGATAACATGCCAAAGGAGGTAAGAATATTGTTCTCGGAGATAACAGATAAATTGCTGCCACAACTTGATGGGCACACAAAAATGATGATAGGTTGTGCTTGAGTTATAAAGTCAAGCTTGGAATTCCTGATTAAATTTTCTTGAATATTGAGATTTTTATAATCCATGTAATATTTTTGTTCTTAAAAAATAGGCTTATAATATTGGAAGATCCATTTCACATCTTTGTTTGTTGTTTATTAACTAATATATTTGTTGTTTTATTTACCAGTACATTGCTTACAAAATCCAGCTGCGTTTGAAGAACGTGAGCCTCACTCTAGAGAACTATGGTAAACCGATTCTCAAGATGACACTTAGTGACATGTTAACTTCGTACGAAAATCGGCCAGGAGGGAACGGGGCCAGGTAAGGCGAATCAAAGCTACGAAAAGGAAATGGAGCTGCTGGTATTAGGGGAAGTGTTGCCAAAACCTTGGGCAACAGATATTAGTAAAAGGTCAAAACACATATTTTTGAATAGATACTGCTGGCCATTTAGTTGTGTTTCTTGTATTTATTGCATTGCTGCAAGTAATTAATAGCACATGTTGGACTTCTGAACCTATTCCAGAGACTTTTGTAAAAAATGATGAATTCCAAATATTAACAGTTGACTTCTGGTTAATATTATAATATGAATTTGTAAAACTTGCATTTTATTTATCAGTTTTTAGGTTGAAAAATGACAGTCAGAAATTGTGATTTTACATCTCTATAATTACTGGTATAACAATATACTGAGTTGTTATGTGAACAAAGCTATGTATGATTGTCTTGTTATTTTAGGGTATTAAGTCATACGGAAAGCTTCACAATAGAGGGCGCCTCAGTAGATTACAAACTGGTGTCTCTTCTCACCTCAAATAGCAACATATACTGTAAGTTCTCCCATACTCCTTCAGGCCAACAGTCTCAGTGATTGTAGGATAAAATGTTGTTAACCTTTTTCTATCAGTCTTAACTAGCTTAAAAATTACTTTCAAGAGCTAACAAGTATGTATGCTTTCATTTAGAATTTATTGATGATGTTTAGAAATTTACAGTTTCGATTTTAAATGTAGAATCAACTTGTTTCACATCTTGAGAAATGAATATGAAAAACTTTTCATAAAAACATAACATATTTTCAAATATTTTTTATATGGTAGAACCTTGTATTATTAGAAGTATAATGGTAACTAGAAATTTATTATACAAGGACGTTTACTTAGAACACAACTGTTGATAACAATTCTGGTTTTATAATTGATTTACAGCTACAGACAACCAGATGTTTACGTTGGACTATGAGCTCCGGCCACTGTCCATCCATGCTGACCAGTCTCTCAAACTGAATGTCCGACCTGTTGAAATCTTCTATGACCAGGTAAATGTCCGACCTGTTGATATCTTCTATGAACAGGTAAATGTCCGACCTGTTGAAAACTTCTATGACCAGGTAAATGTCCGACCTGTTGATATCTTCTATGACCAGGTAAATGTCAGACCTGTTGAAAACTTCTATGACCAGGTAAATGTCCTGGGCCTGTTGAAAGCTTCTATGACCAGGTAAATGCCTGTTAAAATCTTGAACTTAGGAGTGATGTATTATTTTTTTTTTAATTATTATTAAAAACAATAGAAAAATAGAACTTTTGCTTGTTGATCTCACGCTATAAGTAATTAAAAACTCTTATTTTTTGTGATAACAGTTTTCTTATTCTAACTTCAGCATGCAGTGTCACAGATCATGATGTTCCTCCAAGTACCGATGGACTCGCCACAAGTTGATATCAACGCTATTGCGCGGGAGAAACTCATGGACATGGTGGAGTACAGTCGCGCCACACTGCTGTACGCCATTGAACAACAATCCTCCGTAAGTTATCATACACAGGATTGGTTTGAGAGGCATTGCTGATAGGGTATTAAGCAGTTTTTTAAAATGTTATTTTTCGATCAAATTTTATTTTTTATTTTTTGTTAGAATACAAACAAACAACATGTCTCTATTGGCTGGAGGCTTTTTAATGGAACATGTAGGGTATATGATTACTGGTGTTAAAAGGGAAACCTTTGAAAAGATTGAATATTCTTTTTTATACGCCCGTCGAAGACGGGGACGTATTATGTTATCACGTGAGCGGGCGGGCGGGCG